TCCACTGCTAACAGAACCAAGGGGAAGGTATTAGAATACTCATGTCAACTCATTCGACACCAATATACCATCAAATACTCTCCTCCTGGCTTTTATACGTGAAGATTTTTATAAAAGAGAATTAAGTTTGTGGAACATTTAAAAAATGTCATTAAGATTAGTTACTAAATCCTGGGGTACAGCATATTAATGCTCTAGAGATCTGAATGCAAATATTATTTTCAAAACTGATTAAAGTTTGTATCAGCCCTCAGACCGCAACACCACCACAGACCTTTCAATTGACAGGCTCTGGCTAGAGATGACACTGAACAGAGGTGATTAACAAACTCAAAACCAGATGAAACATTTGCCCGAAGTAAAACAGTTGTGCATCTAGTTTTCTACACATCCAACATCCCAATATGTAACCTAGCTTTCAACTTTCATAAGAAATTAGAGGCAGAGAAAGAGACCAACAGTTTCCAGTTAAAGCCTAGTTATTTATCCGCAGTGTAAACTAATCGCCACAGGTACTAACATGCGACTCTGCCACTGTTCTAGTAACTCTTGTAGTCTGGATTTACAGTCCCCAGCTTTACGTCACATACCATACGTTTGACATGCGTTTTCAACACCTAATTTAAAAATAAAATCACCACAAACTGCAATGAAAAATTCATTCTAGGTATAAAAAACACAACACAGTGTATTCAGCACAACATTCCTTAAAACTTTGATGAACATTTAAAATGCAAGTGATGATCACTCATTTGCTACAATTTCCAGAACCAATGCTTTATATCATAGTTATGTGCAAACATTCTATACTAATAGGAATACAGAAAGCCACATTTCACACCAGCACACTAATTACATTAGTCACCTAAAGACAATCTACATGTATTCTTCTCCCATCTGCCTTTTTTCTGCCCTGTGTCTCAGCAGTGCAGTCACCAGATTCTAATGCTATGTAATCATGATGCTTGTCACTGATAGTTTTCAACAATGTTATCCAAATCATGCACCTAATTATTTCTCTTACTAATTTTTCCTGACTGCAGACCTCAACTCTTAATTTATTCATCACAGTCTGATCTGCATCTCTTGCCAATCATGTTGTATCTAACCGTCACGAACCATTAATCCAGAAGGTTTAGATTTTTCATGCAAGCATAAAGTCTGTGAATTGAGTAATCGAAGATGCATACATTCAATCAGTCAAGAAGTATATTCATTCAGTAAAAGGTACATTGCACAAAATCAGTTGCTTAAAGTGATGCCATCTACATATTTCTCCAAAGCCTGAACTGCTACTTGTTCTGACAGGTAATGGCTTATGTAAATATAACAGGCAGCTAAAAAATAAACACCTTTCTTTTTTTCTTCATGTTGATATGTGATTTGAGACAGAATCCTCAAAATCATCCCCACTAACCAAAGATAAATTACACTCAAGTCAAACATCACTTGAGTGTACTTTACACCCAAGTCACACATGAAGGAAATGCACAGGCGGTGGAAGCAGGGACAAGTATCCTAGTAAGAGTAAAGGGATGCTGCCCGGTTGTGTAGGGATGGGGTCAGAAAGGCCAAGGAGTAGCTGGAGCTGAACTTGGCAAGGAATGTAAAGAATAATATAATAAGTGCTTCTACAGGTATGTCAGCCAGAAAAGGAAGGTCAAAGAAAGCATACCTGCCCCCCTACTTTGATAAGCAAGACTAGCAACAACATATGAGGAGAAGGCTGAGGTACTCAACAACTTCTTTGCCTCAATCTTCACTGTCAAGCTCTCTTCGCACACCTCTCGAGGGGATGGCCTGTAAGACAGGGACTGGAGGAGAAAAGTTCCTCCTGCTGTAAGAGAAGATCAGGTTTGAGACCACCTGAGGAACCTGAAGTCTACAGGACCTGATGAGATGCATCCCAGAGTCCTGAGGGAATTGGCCCCAGGAGCCCTGGGGGAATTGTGTGATTTAGTTGCAAAGCCACTCTCCACACTATGTGAAAAGTCATGGCAGTCAGGTGAAGTCCCTGGAGACTGGAAAAAGGGAAACATTACACCTGTTTTTAGAAAGGGTAGCAAGAAGGACCCTGGGAACCACTGACCTGTCAGCCTCACCTCTGCCCCGGGAAGATCATGGCACAGATCCTCCTAGAAACTATGTTAAGGCATATGGAGAACAGGGAGGTGATTCGAGACAGCCAATGTGACTTCACCAAGGGCAAGTCCTGCCTGACCAACCTAGTGGCCTTCTATGATGGAGTGACTACATCAGTGGACAATGAAAGAGCTACCGATGTCATCTATCCGGACTTCTGTAAAGCCTTTGACACAGTCCCCCCCAACAATCTTCTCTCTAAATTGGAGAGACATGAATTTGATGGGTGGACTGATGGGTGGATGAGGAATTGGTTGGATGGTCACATCCAGAGGGTAGTGGTCAACGGCTCAATGTCCAGAGGGAGATCGGTGTCGAGCCCTGTACCTCAGGGGTCTGTACTGGGACCAGGGGACCAGCACTGTTTAATATCTCCATCAATGAAATAGTGGGATCGAATGCACCTCCAGCAAGTTTACACGAGTGGTGCAGTTGACACACCTGAGGGACGGGATGCCATCCAGAGGGACCTGAACAAGCTCAAGGAATGGGCCCATGTAAACCTCATGAGGTTCAACAAGCCCAAGTGCAGGGTCCTGCACCTGGGTCAGGGCAAACCCTGGTATCAATACAGGCTGGAGGATGAAGGGATGGAGAGCAGCCCTGCCAAGGACTTGGGGATACTGGTGGATGAAAAGCTGGACATGAGGCAGCAATGTGCACTCGCAGCCCAGGAGGCCAACTATATCCTGGTCCACATCAAAAGCAGCGTGGCCCGCAGGTTGAGGGAGGGGATTCTGTCCCTCTACTTCACTCTGGTGAGGCCCCACCTGGAGTGCTGTGACATAGACTTATTGGAGAGGGTCCAGAGGAGAGCCACAAAAATGATCAGAGAGATGGAACACCTCTCCTATGAGGACAGACTGAGAGAGTAGGGGCTGTTCAACCTGGAGAAGAGAAGGCTCCAGGGAGACCTTGTTGCAGCCTTCCAGTACTTAAAGGAAGCTTATAAGAAAGATGGGGACAGTTTTTTGCAGGTCTGTTGCAACAGGACAAGGGGTAATGGTTTTAAACTAGAAGAGGGCAGATTTAGAGTAGAGATAAGGAAGAAATTTTTCACAGTGAAGGTGGTGAAACAGTGGAGCACATTACCCAGAAAGGTGGTAGATGCCCCGTCCCCAGAAACATTCAAGGTCAGGTTGGATGAGGCTCTCAGCAATCTGATCAAGTTGAAGATGTTCCTGCTCATTGCAGGGGGGTTGAACTAGATGAGCTTTAAAGGTCCTTCCAACCCAAACTGTTCTATGATTCTGTGACTGGTCACTTCCAACTGAGAATCAGGCTATCTGATAGGAGCAGCTGTTAGAACAGGCTTGACAAAATGCTTTGTTAGTACATAAGTTTAGAAATTCACATCCTTGCATTCCTTGATGTCCCATTAAAAGAAAAACACGCTTGCTATTTTCCTGTTACTGCCTCTGTAGGAGAGTGGCAGTGGGAAGCAGATAAGAAGTACAAAGTGTTTTCTGTTGAGATAATCAGGGAAATAAAAGATTTCTAACTCAGCGCAATGACAATGACCCCAGCTGAGTACTCTTTCATTAATTTTTTTCCCAGAGCTGGAAATTAGTATTAGAACATCATTCTGACCCTCAAGAAAGCATGTTCTACAAGCAGAAGTTTAAAAAAAAAAAAATTGTTTTCTAGGGGGTTTTTATCCCATTAACATCTGCCAGCAAAGAAACTGTAATTTCTAAGGCCCCACAAAAAAAAACCCAGCATGTTTCAAGTTAGTCTGGAGTTGTATCAGCCAACTAGAACACAAATGCTGAGTGACATCAGGAAGTGAGTTCTGCTTGCCTTACCCTCTATAGAAACACTCTATTCTGTTGAGAAGCATTCAATTTTCATAAAGCATGTAGGATCTTATTTTGAGATTTCAATTTTTTCCAAATGTAATTTGATGTCTTAGTTTGATTTAAATCAGCACAGAAGTTGACAAGGGAAAAGAGCAGCAGAAGTAAACTGAACAGTATAGTCCTGTAAATCTATGAAAAGACAAAAAAAAAATTTCCTACTTTTGAATTTCCAAAGTGAAAAGACCATTTCAAAGAAAAGTGCCTTCATTAAAATACAAAACTCCTGGCTTACTGAATGCTCCAATACAAGTATAATAAATGTTAAGTACTTGACTACTGAAATACCACACAGGGTTTTGAAAATATCCTCATTTCTCCTGACAGTCATGAAAGACAGTAGAAAACAGTTACTGTTCAGGAATCTTACTACCAATGGCAAATCTAGAAAGATACAAAAACCCAGAAATCTCCTGTCTTAAATAAAGAGGTTACTGCCTCCTTATAGTTCATTTCGTGTTCAATACAAAAGTCTTCTAACTAAAATTCCAGTGTCAGAGACTGCTGTTATTCTTTTCACAATCACTAAATAGTATGTGTTTACCACAAATAAGAATACTAATACTTATTAATATAAGTATTATCTTGCATCTAATTGCTAAAAAAAGCAGTTATGATCTCATAGAACAAGGTATCCCAGTTTGTTTAAAGTTAAGCTTTAGTTTTTAAGCATGACAGAATGAGGAATAAGGAAGTAAATACTGACTTATAAAAGTAATTCCAGAAACAATTATTAATGGCAACTGCTGATAAAAATCAGACCTCCTTTTCTTTGCACATGGGAAATAGAAAAAACGCAAACCATAAATTCATGAGCAATAGCAAATACCTTTTTCAGTTTATTAACAAGATGGGAAAAAAAGCTCTGCAAACTCTGATCACCTTTCAAAAAGCAAAAGCATGACAGTTACTCTTAAAAGTTACTCCCTAATCTAGCATATACCTTAAACATATGGGAAATTATTAAAAAAAACCCACAATACAAAAAAAACCACAATTTACCTGTATGTGCATTACAAGCTGTGCTTTCTCCTTGTCCTTACGCTCTATGCATCTCTTTAGTTCTTCTACCTCTGACATTACAGCATTATGATTCAGCTTTGCTTTAAGCTCCAAAATATGTTTCTCCAGTTCCTGCTTCTCTCTCTCATATCTTTCAGATACTATAAAATAGTGAGAACAGAACAATAGGCCCAGAGACAATAGGCAGAGACACAAACTTGTGGTAAATTATTTTTTTCTGATTCCTCTTTTGGCAATTTTCTTCTCAACTTGAGACTATTCTACAACTACTGATTTTGGTCAAAGTATCTGTGAAAAATAGCTATACCTATATCATAACCTTTTACTGAATGAGACAGTATTTGTATTTATCCAGTCATTTCAGGGGAGGGTCCTCCTTTTTTTAAAAAAATAAAACCAACAAAAAAACCCCAAACAATAAAATAAAATATGAGGGAAGAAACAATAGGGAAATACTGGTGTAAATGAAACTTGGCCACAAACTTCAAGGCCAAGATATTCTCCCACCAGAGTAATACCTCCTGATTTGGAAGTCACACTATCTGTGAATTTTATGTCTGAATCCTACAACTACAATAGAAGTTCTTGATGAGAGTAAGCTGTAAATTTCCTCAACCAGAAATTCAAAGGTCTTCAGTCATAAACAACTACTAGAGGGGGAAAAAAAAAACAAACCTCCATTTGTATTCTTCCCATGAATCTTTGAAGAAACAGAAGTAACACAGTAAGGAGAAACATAACTGCATAAATTATATAAATATGTGTACATCTTAATAGCTTCAGTGCATTTTTATTTTCTTCATATTTTTACAACTGTTTTGATTTATAATTATTAAAAATTGGAAAAATTGAAATGCGTTTTCATTAACATGAAAGGCATATTGTTACAAATAAATTCACTTTCAAGCATATACATTAACATGACTGGAGAAAAACTATTAAAATTACTATTTTGTGTTACATTTCTAAAGCTAAACCATGTACAAAATCTAGCCATTTTCCAGTGCTCTGTATGAGATTTGGAAAACAGGGAGTTAGAGTCCTATTTTAATAATCAAGATATTTTTGTATTTTTGTACTTCAGCTACTGAATTGAGTCATTAACAAAACCATAATATTCACAGAGACACTGGACTTGGAGTCACTATTTCTCTATTATCTTGAGTAATACATTTCTATGTTAATAAGAAGAGAGATAAAGACTTTTCTAATGCCCTTTTGATTGTCTGAAAAGCTTTAATACAGATAGACAACTAACAGGGTAGCAAAAACCTTGCTAAGTCGTAATTTAATATCTAATTAACATCTTGAAATTGTTTAAAGTATTGTTCTTCTAAATATCATTGTTCCATCTCTAAAATTCTAACATACTGCAAACAGAAGCCCTGACTGCATCATACTGGAAAATTTTCCTAACCCCTCTGGAATATGTAGTTACCCCTTAGAAATTCTACCAGAAATTCATCAGTCTTATTAACCACTATGTAAGTGACTTTTGCTGTGATTTTCATGATGGCAGAATTTAAACTGCAAATAGACTGAAATGTAGAATTTCAAAAAAATTATTATTTAAAAATAATTCAAATGTTTTTCTTCTGTAAAAACACTGTCCACTTCACTGAAGTTCTCTCTAATTGGTATGTTATCCTAAATTTTAACCTTATTGCTATTTATTTGTTAATATTCAGGCGCCAGTACTTATTATCTTAAAGGCAAGGAGTTAAATGGCTGGTTTTGTTGAAACAGGAGAATTGGACTGAAACTTGAAGACAGAATTCATGTCCAGGCCAACTAATTTGCAGGCCTCTAGTGCAAAATATGAGAGTTGTACCTGTTCTAATTCTTCTGTCATCATCTTGTACATCCTGGTAGCTCTGGCGGTGCATAGCAACATGTGAAATTTGATGCTGCAACTCTACACGGTCGTCTTCTGCTCTTAAAAGTTGGGAACGAAGGTCCTCAATCTAAAATGCATGTACAAGTATCAAATGTTTAATGAAAAACAGAATCAAAGAGTAAATAGTGTACTTTTACTAAACACTACAGAAACTAAAAAAAGAGTATACACAAGTAATTTTTATAAATAACTCTCAAGAGTACTGCAGATGGTAAACAAAAACACGAATTCCTTTCTAATTATAGGCCACAAAGTGATTATTCAAAATTAAAGGAAACATTTTAATTTGCTATGTTGACCACAGATGAGCATTAATTTCTCTAGTCCAAACAAAATGCTACCATTTTATATGTTGCAATTGTCTTTTTATATTGCTAGTGAAAATATAATAAGCAATATATTTTATTTAAATTCTACTCATTAAAAATACAATGTACTCATTCTTAAGAAACGTCGGGGCTTTTTATATTTTTCTTTTCTATCATATACAGTCTAGCACTTACAAAGATGACATTGTATAGAATAAAGAGAACATGACATGCTGAAATTGAATTGAAGGAAAATAGAACTCATATGACCCATACATGATATAGCACTATATTCCATGCACAGTGAGTTACATTCAAAACAGTAATACAGCCAAGTCAAACTGCTGCTAGATACACAAATAAAACAACTAATGCTAAGTATGCCAATTGCCTCCTCCCTACTTATTTCAATCTTTTTTCCCCAGTTCTTCTGAAAGGAAGGAAGGATTAGAAATGTTTAGGATAAAGGACACTTTTCTAAAGCTATAATCCAGGTGCCTGCAACTTCTAGATTTAATCATCAACAGGTATTGTTTAGAGCACACTTTAGATAGTTTTTCAAGTGTTTGTTTTTTATATATTTTTATCACGTTAGTATATAATACAGCAAATACTTCTAGGTCACTAGTTTATCTGAATTCTCCAATTATAGCATGCACTTTGCATAAAAATAATTACTAATATAGAAGTTGTACTAAAGCATACTATGAAGGGCAGTTAGAAATAATGTGTTTATGTATTTAAAAAGTACCATAACTACAACTACTATAGTTATTATATATGAACATATATACATGAAAGTCTGAAAAGCAGAAAAAGTATAATGAGAGATCAGTCCACATATTTTAGACTCTTAAACCTGTCTTTCAGTATCTCCTTCTTCCTTTCCCTAAACAATATTATCAGAATATGAGATAGGAAGTGTAAACAAAAAAGACCTAGACACAGCCTAATGTGAAAACTTTAGGATTTTCACCACATCAAAGCAGTTACCTGATGCAGAAGAGCTTCTCTGCTGCTTTCTGATTCATTCAACTTTTTCTGAGACTGCTCCAATTCCTGCTCAAGCTTTCATTACAGAAGATGATGAAGAAAGAAAAGCAGTGTATGCATCATAGTACAGAAGTGTTTCTTAACTATTTAATTCTGGCACAAATTAATTGATATAAGCATCTATTTAAAATGAGGTATAATATAAAGAATATTCTTATTTGTCTAAAAATTTTAAAGCAAACTGTCTTTTGTACTATATCCCTGCTATATTTATTTAAACTACATAAAGAAAATTTAATTTACAGTCTATAATTTTTGTACAATATTCTATATAACATGACTGTATAAAATATATAATCCAAAACAAAAAAAGCAGAAAAGCAAATTTTTACTGGGTTTAAAGTAAAAGAAAGGAAGATAAACCCTTTTTAAAAGTTTCAAAAACACTATCCCTGGATTTGAAACATACTTTCACACTCAAATTAAAACTAACAATGACTTAACATTTGAAGTCACATTTGTTACACAGTTTATTCATAAAAGTGTTAAAGATTACATGCGTTGGTAGGACTGGTAATTAGTAAATACTGTGTTTTTTCTGTGTTGTGCAAAAAGATGTATTTGAATTATTCTGGAAACAAGACAACTGAAAAACTGAAGTGCCCAGAGTTTCATACAATTAGAATTTTTCCTAAAACTATAATATTAAGGGAATTTAAAAATCAGAAATTATCAGAAATAGTCAGAAAACTGGTGACCATTTAGAAAAAAAAAAAGAAGACAAAAGCTACAAAGTATTTTCTGACTTCTACCATAAATAGTTCAAAGATCACAAAGATCCACGTGGAAATAAACATAGTTTTTGACAGCGGAAATTGTTATTGCAGAGATAGCAATCTCAAAGAGGATGTTGAGAGGCTGGTAAATGGGCAAAGTAAACAGGACCAGCATTAATGGAACAGAGAGAGTAACATAACATAAAACCATACATAGATAGTTTAGCATAAAGGGGTATAACTTTGAAAGTATTGACAATAAAGCTAAACTCAATGTAAGAGGAAAAAAAAGCTAGAAAAAGTTGTAATACGGCCCTAGCATCCTGCCAGAACAAAAATAAAAGAAATCTTGTTTTCCATGAACTGGAAGATAGAAATATGGTAACAGAGAGTTCAGTATAAGTAATTAATAACAAACATGGTGCAAAATAACTAGCACACATAGTTGCAGGGATGAAAAAAACCTGCATCTCTGAGCTGCTGCAAATAAGGAAAAGCTGACTATAAATTCAGAAACAAATCAAAGAAGGAAATTGAAGATAATCCCCAAGTTATAAACTTGTCTGCCTGGCAGGATGGAAGAGTTGTTAGAAACTTAACTAAAGACCTTTGAAGGAAAGACAGAAGTTCAGCATAGCTATATTCACACTGCCTCTGCTGAAAAAAAAAACCAACCTTATCTTAAAGGATAAAGAAGGTTTTATCCTTCTGGTTTCTCTGAAAAAGGAAGCATATACTGTAACATATGACACTACACACTTATTTAAAACCAAACAAGAAAGGAGAAAATTAAGTCTTACTTGGTTCTTTTCACTTTCATATTTCACAAGTTTATTTTTCATGAGTTCTTCTGTTTCATCTGCTTTAGCATCTTGTTTTCTTAAAGCCTTTAGAAGGGAAAAATATATTGTGAAGTTAATTATAAAAGTTACAGAAGTCTTCTTTGTAAGTCTGTTAAAATGAAAGAATCTGCTGATATATTTAAGAAAGAAGTTCTAGACAAATGCTTTCTATGTCTATTATTTCCATGTGGAGCCAATGTATATTGTTATGAAAAAATAAACATAAGTTCGTGCATACATAAACACTCCCATGCGCAAAACAGGGCCAAATACAAAGTCAAACCTAGCACTAACATCCTTCCAACGTATAGAGCTCCAGACACTAAAGTCTGACCCCAAACACTTTGAGATGAAGGTCTAAGAGGCTCAAGACATCCCCTACAGATAAGCTGTGAACATATCAGATGAAAAGAGTATATTCTCTAAAATAAAATATCCATTATATGAAATACAATGCATTGTAGTGAGGAAAACGCTACCATAAGGTTTGTTGGAAGCCGAAAAAAGGAAAGAGTTATTCTTATCTAAATCTGGACAGCTTCTTAGAATTGTAGTTATTAAGACATAATCAGCTGAAACCTTCCTGATCAAAAGTTACTGACAATGATGTGCCCTACTTCAGGGGGGAGAGGGGGAAAATAAAAAAATCAAAGGGGACTTTGCCTGTCCCCCCTCAAACTGAAGTATGTAAAAAGACTTACGTACATTTTCTAAAGCATCTTACAAAAATAAAATTGCCTTGAGTATCATTTCAAAATCTTTTCTCTCTGCAAAGCAACACTGCAGAACATAGCCGATCACTGGCAAAGGAATGCATTAGATGTCACAGACATTAGTGACACAATTTGGAACATACACAACCCAAGTTTAGATATCTCAAGCCACAACAATATCATTGGCTCATCTCAAATACCACTTAGAAACACCAGGAGAGAGAGCTCACTAGCCATACTGATAGAATTTGCTGTGAATTTGAGTAATTGTGTGAATAAATCTTGTTTCTTTGCTGTGCAACATGACCAAGCGCTTTTCACACTAGCCACAAAACAATTAAAGACCTTAGCATACACCTTTTACTTTCATCAAATATCATGAAGCGTAAGTACATCTTTTCCTTCCACCATTACTTGGTAAAACTACAATAGAAAAAGTACAGAAACACACAGCCTGTCCAGAAAGAAATGTCTTTTTCCCAGTCTGTTCTTCCTGAGCAGCATTTTTATCTTATATTTTAAAGGAATATCTCCTTAAATATCCCTGAAATTTGCCCCTATAATTAGTGCAATTTCACTCAGTTTTTGGACATTTTCTCCTCACTGTATACTGGGGAATGATTTCACTGTATGAAAACAGAACACAAGACATTAATCAACCTCAGTGAAGCCAGTTATTCAGCTTTAGAAGTTTTGCTTTTTTAAAAGTAGCTTTGTGGAGAAAATAAATGGATTTATATACTCATTTCAGTTTTATATCCTCGTCTCAGGAAACAAAAGGGTTTCAGTATAGTTTGGACTACTCTCCTGCTTGAACAGTTTACACTAAACACTGCAATTGCGGAAGATATTTACCATAACTATGCCACTGAAAATATTATGCTACATAAAGAATTCCACTTTTAATCTTACTGATTCATAATCAGATACTGTAAGACTGCAACCTACTTAAGATATTTCCCTAAGTATTCAGTACAGAGTCCAACCTATCATTCCAGCCAACTATAAAGCTCAACACTGAACACAGACTTGACACACTCCCATTTTACTCAAAAAGACTCTAGGGAGAATTCCCAAAAAGCTACATGAACAAAAATCAAACATCATCACTTCAGCTAATGCCGTTATTGCACCAGTTGTTGTTTTTTTTAATGACCAGAAGTACCAGTTCAGAACAGTCTGCTAGGGATACATGATGTGTACTAATAGCAATTGAGCTTTACTTTTACTAGCAAAATTAGAATCTCTGTTATATAGTCAACTGTATACCAACCTTATTTTTGGCACTAAATTCATAATTAATAAACCCATGCATTTTTGGTCCTGTATGTGCAGATTTTGCTAGATATGTCAGCATCATAATGAAAATGTTAAAGCTGGGCTGGAATTAGAAATACTAGGAAAATTTTCAAAGATTTCCCTACTGAAAGCAAAAAGTATGTCTCTGCATCAGTAATACATCCTAATTCCCAGAAGAAACCACAAAAATTAATATGCCATTTCAACCCATCAGGATCACTGAATTATATTTAGTGCTATTAAAATAGCAATAACTTCAAATAAAAAGGCAGTCTTTCCTATCACTGATACTACAAATATGATGTTAAGTTTTATTTTCTGTATATTGTAAAAATAGCCCATAATAATTTCAGTTTTAGGAAAAAACAGTTCATATTTATATATCAGAGTTAAAATACTACAAAAAGAATGTGGTGTTACAATAAATTAAATATACCACATGTGCACTGCTTCAGCTGTGAAACATGCATTTTTCCAGTAGGTGCTAGGTAGGCAATCAGTTAACCAAAATGTCATTAAGAAATGGAAACATCCGGTCATCCACAGCCAAATGACAAATATCATGTTACCGATGATTCAGAAACTGCTTGGGTAAAAGTTAATTCTATGTTTTCCCTCCTTCTTGTACTCCTTTTTAAATAATTCTCTGTCACTGGTTTGTGCCACTCTTGATTTTTCTCCACTAAAGGTTTCTCTGTGTAAGGTTTCTCTTGGCAAAGGAAGTGTTAAAGTAAAAGAAAAAAAAAACACCATATGAAGATCCAACTGACTTTGATTTCATTTGTTGTCTCCAAAGAAGGGGTTGGGGGAGTCAAATAGTCAAAGATAGGAAATAAGAAGGGGATGCTGAGGACAACAGATCCAACACACATTTCTCCCTGATAGTTCCCAAGCAGCAGGCAGACACTGCCCAGGAGAACTCTGTTGGCAATGCTGAAGCACCAAGGAATGGGAACAGGCCTACAGTCATCAGGATTCCCCCACCAAGATCCTCCTCTTGAAAGCATTAATGTCCAGGTTGGCCAGGAGGACACCGATAAGGAGGCTGATGAGGCCTTGGATGGGGGCAGGCATGGAGGAAGCCACAAGGAAACAGAGAACTTCCATGTGAAGAGGTCTTCACAGCATGGTTTTGGGATGGATCCACTGGAAATTACACTGCCTGCCTAGGTAGTCAGAAACAGGCTCTTGTCCCTGACATGCTAGAAGAACTTTTGATTTGACCCATTAGAGCAAGTCTTACAGGTTTTAAAGAGTTCACTAACATAAGACAATATTAGAATACTACCATACCTAGTACACCCCAGCTCAACATACCTCATCTATAAACAGTATATCGAACCCCAAGCTTCAAACAGATAAAATAATTTACTCCTGCTAGGTAGATTTTTTTTTCTTATATATGGGGAAAACTACATGGAGGCCTCTGTAACAACGGTTCTCAATCTTTCCAACTTACAAAAATCTTCCAATAGCAAATCATAACTTTTAGTGCAATTTAAGCCTACTAACTTTTCTTCAGGTTTGGGTTTTGGGATTTGTTTCTTGGGGTTTGTTTTGTTTGGGGTTTTTTTTGTTGTTGTTTGTTTGTTTTTTGGTGTTTTTTTTTTAATAAAAAGATTGTTTGAAAGTAAAGCACAGACCACAAACTGAAATTTGTTCTTTCAAAGTGAGACTGATCAGTGAATTATATTCATACTAGCAGAAATACATAAGCAGACCAGCCTCATGCTATGTTTTAAAGTACGGCCAAGATGTACCACATCCTAATCT